ATATTTTAAAGAGTAATTGATATGACATTAGGAATGGTACATATTTAGAAGACCAAGATGACAGGTATTCAAGCATGGTTTTTATATTACACATTACTGTCCTCCATGTAGCTGCTCAGATTGCAGATATCAGGATACACAGGTAGTCCAGGTGAAAATTCCACACATTAAATGCTGTTTTCAAAAAAAACTGATGGAAATTTTTAGTACAATCACCTCAGCCATTCTGTATATATACTTGCATGTTTTTTCACTACTTTTTTCCCACCTTCTCCTTTCTTTCCTCTTCATTGTTTAATGTATAAGTTCAATTTCTTTCTGTTGTACAGTATCTGTTATACCTTTCAGGTTTTATTTCTTATTTCCGGTTCTTACACTAGGGAGACAGTATGATATTTACAAATATGGGTCTGATTTAGTTCACCTATGAGTATAGCCTCTGGTTGCAGCCACTTACCTATGAAGGCTTCCAGTTTATCTTTCTGAGTAATAGTCCATTATATAAAAGTACCATATCTTTTTCATCTCTTCCTTAAGTGATGCACATTTTGGTTGTTTCCACAATTTGGCTATCACAAATTGTGCTGCTATAAACATGGGTGCACATATATCACCATGGTATGTTGTTTTCAGTTCTTTTGGGAAAATACCCAGAAGGGGAAGAGCTGGATTGAATGAGATTTCCAGTCCTAGTTTTTTAAGCGTCTCCACATTGATTCCCAGTGGTTGTACTAGTTTACATTCCCACCAGCGGTGTAGAAGAGATCCCTTTTTCCCCGTAGCCTCTCCAGCATGTTATTAGTTAATTTCTTTATGATAGCCATTCTTTATGGGGTGAAATGGTATCTCAGAGTTGTTTTATTTTTTTTAAAGCAAATATTGGGTAATATTCACTCTGTATTTTTTTTTTAATTTTATTTATTTGTGTGTGTGTGTGTGTGTGTGTGTGTGTGTGTGTGTGGCCAGCTCAGCCCACCAGGGGGCGGGGCTGGCTGGCATGTGGTGCTGGGGGATTGAACCGCGGTCCCTGTGCTTTGCTGAGCTTGTTCTAAGTAGGTGCTTTAGACCACTGAGCCATCTAACCAGCCCCTCAGAGTTGTTTTAATTTGCACTTCTCAAAGGGCCAGTGATCTGGAGCATTTTTTCAGGTATTTATTTCCCTCTTGTATTTCTTCCTCTGAGAAGTATGTATTCATCTCAGATGCCCATTTTTGGATTGGGTCTTTAAAGTTTGGTGTCCTAAATTTTTAGTTCTTTATATATTCTAGATAGAAGACCTTTGAGTAATTATTGGTTAAGATTTCTTTTACGAAATTTGTTCATCGTCCTTTTGATCTGTTGGTGATTACTTTTGAAGTGCAGAAACTTCTCAGTAAGAGGTTCCAGTTGTTGATTCTTTGAATTATTTCCCATGCAGCTTGATTTTTGTTCATGAAATGTTCGCCTACCCCTATATCTTCAAGATATCCACCCATTTTCTCTTGTCTCCTTTTTGCTTGTCTTTTTTTGCACTACTTCACAGTCAGCAAGACTTTTTTCATGTGAAAGTATAGGTGACAAGTATCTCAGGCTTTAAGGATCACATGTATCATGTCAGTTATTTGAAATTAGAAAACAATTTAAATAAAAACAAAACAACAAAACTCTGTTACATCTTAAGTGCAGCAAACAGGAGCTGGGAAACTTGAACTATAAGCCCTGGTGCCCAGTCCCCATCTACAAACGTTTTATATGTGTGATAAAAAGCAAACCAAAACAAAATAGGACCCTAACATCACAAAACATACACAAAATGATTTTGAGATGTACCACGTACCTAATGTTTCTACAACATAGTCAAGTCTCTTAAAGAAAATATAGGGAAATAACATTAATGGTATTGACTGAATAAAGCTTTTTTAACCTAGAGGCAAAATGAATTAAATTTACAAGGAGAAAGAAATCCAACATCTATTGAAAAGACAGCATATGAGCTACAAAAGGAAAGTCAGACTAGGAGAATTTATCCATGTAAATACATGTCTAGAAAAAATTTTAGGATTCACATATAGAATACTGTATATAGAATACAGATATATGAAAGACAAAAGGAAATAATGAAATTAGAGAAAAGTCTCAGATATGCACCTGAGGAAAAAATAAATCCAAATGGCCAATGACAAATGAAAGGAAATTGGCATCAGGGGTGTCATAGAAATGCAAATAAAGACCTCAGACACTAAATTGGTAAAATTAGAACAGATTGATAATTCCAAGTATGAATGAGGATATAGAGCAACTAGAAAGCTCACACTGTGGCTACGCGTGTGGATGGTAGGTACTGGAATTCATAGTTTATCAGAGGAATAGATATGGAAGTTGGGGTACTCCTTTGTCAGTGTCTACATAGAACTAACAATGTAATATTGGCTTAATTCGAAAAGGTGATATAAATATTTGGAGAGGATAAGGACAATGTAAATGTCCATACATAATTATTTATCTTCATATTTTATCGGGAAGAATAAAATACTAGTGTAAACAGGAAAGCAGGGAAACACTTAATACATGTGTACTATTCAGAAATGAGAGGTCACTACCAGAAGAGTTAAATGACCAGAAAGTGTTTACTGTGAGTGGTGCTACTGTGGGGGGGGTGGGGGTTGGATAGATTGCTGTTTTCTATTATAAGACTTGTTATTTTATTTCTTAAAAGTTTGCTTAGATGTTAACTATATAGAAAAATAAAGTATATAAAAAGCAAGCTGTAGTGCAGTTATGCAATGAAAATGCTTACTAATGAAATGCATACATTTCTTGTATATGCACATTTACCCAAACAGATAAACTTGAGAGAACTGCTTTGAGCTTAAGGAGCCACACACAAACTGGGACACACTGGGCTATCCACATGTTGGAAAGATCAGTTACAGGAGAGCGCGATGGGAGAAAAGCAGGCATATTTATAGAAAAATGACACGTAGGCCTTCCGGTACCAAGAAATTAATTAAACTATTTAATCTTAATCTAAGTAGATAATTATGCAAGTATAAACACATGCATAAATCCACAAAACTGCACCTTTAAGATTAATATACTTAGCACATATCTCAATACATAAGTTATTTTTATCATTAAACACAAACAAATTCCAGAATATGAAAGAAAGAAACCGAAGAGGTAAAGAAACAGAAAATATGTAAGTAGGAAGCTACTAGACGAAACAGCAAAAAGTGCACAAACTGAGGTGTCGTTAACGCGCACTAATTTACGAAGTCACGCCATTTACAATATCATCAGCTTATTTTGGGGGGTAAATCTATGGCTAGCTTTCTTTGGCACACAAGTTTTCACTTTCTTGAAAAATTTTCACATATCCTTATCAGATTCACTGAAAATGTAATAATGAAATTCTGCGTGGTAATATTCTTCAGCTGTCCTAGTAACAGATACGGTGTTCCATATCATAGTTTCAAGAACTTAAAAATGTTTATATTTCTAATAATTTATCCTAAGTTGTGACTAATGTTATTTGACCTTCTGGCCCTTGAAAAAACTTATAATGGCAATGAAAAACATGGAATTTGGAACTGAGTTCGGCTCACTGTTGCTCAAACTCTTACACACTGCAGCGCTGCCTTGGTTCCAGCTATTGAGAATCCATAGCAGCTTTGGAGTGGTAAATTGAATTCAGCATTTTGGACACATATGTCAGAGAGCTTCTGCAGGTGTCAGGGTTGATTAAGGAGGCACAGAGCCAAATCCTAAAAAGAAATCTTGATGATAATTATCTGTTCCTTAAAGCCAATGCTGTCTTGATGAGTTTGAAGCTGAGATCTACCCTTTCTTAAAAGATAGAAGACAGAGCTCACTGCAGCATGTGCCTTGAGAGTTCCCATGTGGGTCACACCCTGGATACCTTCCATGTCAACTCTGGGGCGGGGCTGTGGCCACCACAGTTGCAAAGTCTCTAGTTGTCTGGGTTTGCCTGTGGCCCACAGCTGCAGCCCCAGAGCCCCCCATGCGCTCTGGGACCCTTCTGGCATTCTGTGTACTCCATAATTGTGCACCATCACGTCCTTGTCCATTCCAGCCTTGATCCAGGCATCAGGCTGACCTATCTAAATGCTCAAACCACCCACCTAGATTGTAAATGAAAAGAAAAATTAAAATTCCCATTATGTTACTTTCTGAAGATTTATACAATATGTCTCTATTTTCCCTGTCTACTAGCAAGGGTCTTTATCTCTTGTCGCCATCCTCTGAAACCCATGTCCTCCTATCACATGGAAGAGTGTAATAAGTAAATTTCTCATCTTGCTCACTAGCCTGAAGCAGCTCAATACCTCACTTTTCCCTTCAGCATTAGGTTTCCATATCAGTGCTCTTGTCTCCTCTTTCAGCCTCGGACTCCAGTAGCCTGTCCTCAATCTCATGAAGGATGCAGTGGTTTCACTACCTCAGTGTACTGCTTCATGCTGTTTTTGTTGATGCTTTCACTGTTTTCCCTGTAGTGGAATCCCCTTGCTCCCTTTTCAGCCTGATGAATTTAAGGTCTTCTATGGTCTCTTCTCCAGCCATCCAAATAAGTCAGACGCTTGTGCTGGTATGCAGTGGCCCGCGTGTAGCCCCCACAGCGCCAGGGTCTGCCATCCTGCACTGCACGGCGGCTCTCTGAACACAGAACAGCCCATTATTTCCCTTTGGCCTCCTAATGCCTAGCGCAGGGCTGGTCGTGCAGCGCATGGCCGTAACCCAGGCCCGTGTGCTGTCTGTCATGCAACAGCGTGGTCCTGCGTGTGTTAAGTCACACTACCAGCAATACACGTATACACATATTGATGTAATGTAAGTGACTCTTCTATTTGCTATTTGGAAAATATTTAGGTTCTGAACAATTGTAGTCTATAATATGTCAAAGGAAACTAAAGCTTTCTATGAGTTCCTGGTATTTTTATAAGCAGGATGTAAGGATATTAAAGTATGATACTCAACAGTTCATTTTTTTTATTTTTCTGCAGATTGCTGCCAATTCCTGGGGAAAGTCATGGGGAGAGAATGGCTATTTTAGGATTCTTCGAGGAGTAAATGAATCTGACATTGAAAAGTTGATTATCGCAGCGTGGGGCCAACTGGCAAGTTCAGATGAACCGTAGTGTACTGAGGTTCCTAAGGTCACGTGATTAACGCCTTCAACTGAAGCTTAGTGTGATGGGTTCTCTGTGAGAGCGGAACCTTTGTCTCCCCACTCTGTGTATAAACGTTCCTGTTTTCTAGTTTTACCCAAGGCTTGTACTCCTTCCTTATATTACTGAGTATATATAAAAATCTTCTAATAAAGGGCAGCAGAGTGACTTAATGTATTTAAATTTCCAAAGTTGCCTTTTCCTTCTCTCAAGATATGGCCCCCTCTTCCATTTGTTGTTTTCAAACAGTGTGACAGTCTTTCATAAAAGTGTGAAGCATTTATATAAATGACGTTTCTCTCTTGGAACAAGGAGGACTTAAGACAACAAGGAATAAATTGTAATTCAACAATGATCTCTTCTCCTCTCCTCTCCTCTCCTCTCCTCTCCTCTCCTCTCCTCTCCTCTCTCTCTCTCTCTCTCTCTCTCTCTCTCTCTCTCTCTCTGGTGTGTTGAGGTCATACTTTGTAGCCCAAACTGGTCTCCAACTTGCAACCTCTTGCTTCAGTTTCCTGAGTGCAATTGCAAGCTTGCACCACTAGTCCCATTCATATGACCTTCTTTATGACATTTTTCAGTCATATATTGCTTGCTTCTTGTTTATGTTTTACTGAAAGATGCGGACATCAATGATTAGCTGTTTCTGTAATAAGGTAACATTTGCTTTCATTGCCTAAACCTGACTTGCAGTGCATCACAAGATGAGCCTCTCTCCAGAAAGTGACTGCTGTTTACAGCACCACGCAGTGTCTGTGTGGCGAAGAAGTCAAGTAAAGAAGGCTGTAGGGACTGCAGCAGATGCACAGCCACGGCTCGCATTTAACCCTGTTTGAGGAGCCTAATCTATGTGAAAAGTCTATTAAAATGAGCTGAAAGCTGTATCTGGAGATATTTACTCCCCAGATAGCCACAGCATGATACCACGGGTAAGATGAGATAAATACATGTTTACCACAGCCACTTCACAGTGCCCTGCTTAAGACTAAAACATAAGCTAAATTGGAACCAATTTGCATTTAATTTTTACTTCCATTTTCCATAGTCAGAGAAACAAAAATAGCATAATCATGGCTGAGAAAGGCTATAATTTTTTAATAATTCACTGCTATCTAAAAGGCAGATTAGCAAGTGCAGAAGCAGAGCTGGTCAGTAAGAGCACCATGGCTTGAGTTGCAGCAGTGGGCTGGTCACAGCCTGAGTTTCTGGGTACTCTATCGCCTTAACTCTTGGTGCGGAATATTTTATGCTGTTTATCAAGGTGCTCTGATTAGATAAGGCAGGCATGGTGCAAGTGTGAGGAAGCTGACAGCAGGAAAATGACAGCTGCCTGGGTCTTCTGTGTTGATCATGAAAACTCTAGCAGAAGAGGTGCACCTGCCCCCTTTTTCTCCCTCATGGAAGTACATGAGGGTGAGTCACCTTGTCAGTGTTGACTGATACTCTTGAGGGCTGATAAACAATTTGTTTTGTGTTTCCTTCTTTTTTCCTCTAGAAGCATCACTAAGACAAGGTTCTGGGTGCACAGCGCTTTCTTGGTACTGGAGGGGGCATGAAGCACCGAGGTCACAGTGGCGTCCTTCATGGGTGATGAGTTCTCACTCCTGGGGACCATGAGCACACACTTCAGATCAGTACAGTCCCTGGAAAGATGTGATCCTGGGCTGAAGGATGCCTGGGGGTTCCCCTAACTTTCTGACCTGGAAAAAAGGGAAGGGAAGTTAGTTCCAGTGTCAAGAAAAAACCCATAAGCAAAGAATACCAGGCTCTTGCCGTTGGCTTTGAGGTTGACATCCACAGAGATGGTGCAGGAGAGGTGGGGTGGGCAGTGCAGTGACAGTGGGGGAACCTAAACACTTTAAAATCACTTAAGATGTTAAAAATTGCTAAAGTAATAATTTATAATGCTCTAAAATATCAAATGACTAATGTTCCTTTTAAAACACTTTTGAGATTAAGTGGATCCATTTTACAAAAGATATTGATTGGGAATTAATTTTCACAGTGTGATTTGTGTGTTTAGATCTGCTGTTTTAAAATTTCCTGCTTTTGTCACTATCCCAAAAGAGAGGGAAATTGGATCCAAAGATGAACAATAAAGAAGGAAAATACCACTATGATAAACCTTATAAGGAAAGCGCAGGGTGAGTTTATCCAGCAATTACTGAGCAAAAGATAAGGAGAGACCAATGTTATTTAAGATGGAAGTCTGGCTTTTCTTGGCCTGTAGGTGAGCCCTACTTATTGTCTGTTACACTGAGCAATAGGAAAGACCATATATATATTTCGTGCAAGTCATTGTAGTGTTTCTGTTATAAGAATTTAGGAGAGAAACACTGTCCACAAACATAATTTATTCAGATAGGAAGGAATCAGAGTGTGCATAATCAAAGAATGGATATGAGAATGGAAGAACAGGTTTTGAAAAAGCCAAGTCTAGAAACTTTTTATGAGAGTAGAATAGTGAGTATTGCCCACTGGCTCTTCAATCTGTCTATGGATGGATTCTGATATTTTTGTCGTAAGTCTCTCTAATTTTAGCTGATGTTGCCTGAATAATTTAAGGAATTTTTATTGTGCTTTTATAGATTTTACTGTAGTTTATTTTTAATACCCATAACTGGTCAGCTACTGGTCTAGCTAGAAATTGTCAGAAGGGGTTAGTGATTTTAGTTTCTTTTTATATCTATCATATTATTGTGGCTCTATTTTCATATATCTTTTGGATATATCTTTTGGCTGGATGTTTAAGACCAAGTTAAAGTGAGACCTGTATTAATCAAAAGTAATCTCTTAGACTGGGCATGGTGGCATGCCTGTAATCCCAGCACTTGGGAAGCTGAAAACAGGAAGATCACTATGAGTCTGATCTGTGTAGTGAGACCCTGTAGACCCTGTACTAAATACATTTAAAAAAACTCTTGCAAGGTTAGGGATTTGGATCAGAGGTAGAATGCTTACCTAGAAAGCTGGAAGACCTGGGTTTGGTCCTTGGAACCAAAACCAACCAACCAACCAAACAAACAAAAAATTAACCTCTTGCTACCCATTGAGGTCAGTTAAGTCTCCTCAGGATTTATCTTGGAATAAGTCATAGAGTCTTTCAGTTCTTCTGTCAGTGCAGGATTCAGGATAAGTCAGAGTCTTCATTGACCACATTGCTTACTATGAAAGCTTGAGAGACCTTTTATAATGGTGACTCTCTTTAGACACACTATATGCCATAGATTTATGTCCTCTGCTGTCCAACAATCTCCCTGCTCAGGAGGTTAAATGACTCTAAGTTGTAGAATGTTGCCGAAAAGGTACTCTGATCTCCTGAGTCCTCACTGACCTCGGAGGGCTAGGGCCAAAATGTAGACTGTCCTCTTAGCCAATCTATCATTTTAATTTTTTCTCTAAACCTCAGCTGTTGAACATCTGGTAAATAAGAACAGTGACATTATCATTGTACTAGGAGCAATGAGCTTAGTTATTATAATTTGTCCTGAATGTCAAGCATTTTAAAATATAAAATATAGCCAGAGAACATTATTTCTTACCAACCGTAAATGTTTTAATAGTTGAATTCCTGTAGAACATTTAGAGACAAAATTATATAGTTTCACAGAGAAAAATTGAGGTCAAAAGGCATATATAATATTTTAGCAGGAAACTCATTATGACATTTTTATAATACATGCAAATTGCTATCCATTCAATTATGTAGAATAAGATTTGGTCAGTCACCTCTGTCTGGCCCATAAGAAGCTATCACCTAATTTGTTGTTCTTTAATAGACTGCCATTGAATAAGTATTTGACATTGTCTCAGTTGCATAATGTGTAAGAGTCTATACTTATAGTGGCATATAAATAACATAAACATCATATAAGTTTTTGTTAAAAATTGTCATTTGACTGGTTACATCATATTGGCCTGACATGGGTCTCCTACCACACACAGCTGAGTGCAACAGAAAGGCAGATGTCTGAGTCTGAAAGAAAGTGTTTATCACCATGAACAAGCTTCGTTTTCACTTTGGAAGACTTGCACACCTGGAAAGAATGAATACAGTTAGTGTACCGTGCAATGAGCAATGATGAATTGTTATAGACAGATGAAAACTTTTTTAGTTTTGTATCAATAATAAATCTTATTTTTTAATTTTTAATTTATTTTTATTTTTTATTTTTTGGTGGTACTAGGGATCAAACTCAGGACCTTGAGCTTGCCAGGCAAGCAAAATCTTATACTTTTATCCTTGGAAGACTTAACATTTTGATGATGAGCAATAAAATCATACCACAATGTTGTTGTGTTGTCTCTCACAGAGCTACGGAGACTTCTAGGGTCCTCATTAATGAACAAAGACTGGAGAAATATTTTTAACCAGCTGCTTTTTTTATTCACAAAGTAGTCCTGCTTTGTAGTCTCTCTGGCCTCAGGGATTTCTGTGTAATTATTTCAAAAATTTCTGATAACTGAAGAGAATGGAATCATAACTAGCTTATTAATTTGACCAATAAAAGACTCTAAAATTATTATACACACAAAACAATCTACATAGTATTATAAAAACAATCTTGAAATCACTTTGACCCACTAGCAACCTGTATGGAAGGTTTAACCTTAATTTTAATGTCATTAACCTAGAATCCAATTTATAGACAAATGTTTAAAAAATCCAAAAATTTTTAAAAAGAAGAAAAATTATCTCAGTAAAGTAAAGCAGCTGTTTATAGAATCAACAGACAGATAAACAAATAATGTAGCATAATTTGCTTATAAAATAGAGTATACTCATATTTTGGCTAGATTGAATTATAATTCTAAAATAATTTTAGAAGTTTGTAATTTTTTAAAATTAATTTTATTGAGAAACAAATAGCAATGAGACAGTTTCAAAGCAGGTTAGTAGGACAGTTACAATAATTAATACACTGCATATTGTTGTCTTCATAGTAGTTATTCATAGTGCAAGATGCAGACATGATATCTTGTCTAAAAACTATTAGAAAGTACAAATCTTCTCATTGAACTAAGAGAAAGTTGATCAAATAACAGAGATCTGTTACAATAATGATTTCAAATTAATAAAAACCTTTTATCTATAATCACTTTTTTGCGTTTTATTTTTTCTTAAGAATACTGTCAACTTTATGTCCCTTGTCTTTATATAAAGTCTCTGGCTCAGTCATCTCTACACATTTGTCAGCTATT